ATAGAAAATAAATATTTATTTATTTATTATATATATAATTTATTTCCTATAAGAATATATTTTTGTAATATACTTCTGTATAAATATTATTTAATTATGCTATTATTAATTATGTTCCTGTAAATATATATAATAAATGATATATTTACAGAAAATTACATAACATTGTATACTTTATATTAGAGAACTACTCATACAAAATTATATCGAGATCTAGTAATGCGTTTCTCAAGGACTACATAATTTTTCTACACGAGTACATCCGACGATGAAACTTTACCTGCATTTAAAGCTATTCGACTCTCACGAGCGCCACTAACTGAAAACACACATTTAATAACGCGCAAAGAAAAGATAAGAGCAGTCACAATTGTACACACCGCCGCAAAATGTCAAAGATGTCGATCGACCGTTCCTGTTACGAAGCTCTAAAAAAATCGGGCTTCTCTTTCTCTCTTTTACATCTGCTCATGCGTGTACTCCGGCACGCGCGACGTGCACGTGTGCAGCGATGACGTAACACTTTGATGGTGTTGTGCTTCGCGTTTGTATTTGCATATACGTACGTCTCCGCGCGTTAATTTTCGTTCAATGAGTGAACAAGACCACGAAGTTCGCAAAATTAAATGATGCGGCGATCTGGCTTTTTAAAAAGAACTTGCAAAATAATTGCACAATCTCACACACACAATTATAATTTTATATATAATAACTTTAAAAATAGATTTTTCTATAATACATCATATAACATGGTTTAATAATACAAATTAAAAATAAATATATAGAAAGATTATGAACCAAAAAACAACAAAGTAAATGTGTAAATATAAGAAACACAAATATAATTATTATGATCTAAAGTAAATAACAAATAACAAACATTGTTTCGAGCCCGATCGGGTCACCTTCAATGTTACATATAAACAAAATTATTAACATAGAAATCTACAGACGAACTTTTATTGCTTATTCAGTATCAGTATACTTAATGCTCTGAGTTTTTTTTACTTTAGATATCGTATTGATGTAATGACTGATTTTACTATTTTTATAGATTTTAACAAGAATTTTTAAATATAAGATGCTTGTGATTATTTTGCACACTTTGACACCAATATGGACTTTCTTTATTTTGACATCCAACATTTACACTATATTGCTGCGGATGTAATATCATATTCATCATGACAGGATACTGTTTAAATACCTATTTATTATTTTATTAATTGATCCGTTTAATTTAAGTACATTATTTTAGTTTATCTTTTCTATGTAATTTTGTTTATATATATAACATTGAAGATGATCCGATCGGGCTCGAAACGACATTTGTTATTTGTTATAAATACTTTAGATCACGATAATTATATTTGTTTCTTATATTTATACATTTATTTGGTTGTTTATTTATTTTGGTTCATAGCCTTTCTATATACTTATTTTTTATAATATTATATAAATCTACACGTATGACACATAATAATATTTTTAAGACTTCTCATAATCAATACTTAATGCAAAGAGTATATAACATATATATTTAATACATTAATTTTATAACATCATAAAAAAAAAAATAAACAAAAATTAATTTATTTATATAAATATCTCCCTCCACGGAAAGAAATATTGACGCGTCCGATTCACACAAAATAAAAATTATAAATAGTAACTCTCAGTGTTTAAAACGCTGCAAGAGAAAAAATTATTATGTTTGTATCGATTTATTCCGGGACAGCGCGAACGCAGTCCCGACTACCAAAAATTATACGCCCGAGATACCCACTTTAGGGGTATTCGCAAGGGTCAGCTCGACCGTAGTGCAATGGAAGAGCCTCGCCCTGGAGGAACCGCCTTCCTGATCACGGTAGCCTCTGCGCCAGGTAAGTATGATTTCGGCGCCGCTTGAGTCCTTAATATTGACTACTCGGTGAATCTTAAATACGAGAAACTTATCCGTAAAACGCGCCACATAGCGACAAAGTGCTCAACTAAACGTGTCGTCTAACAGTCAGTCGTTAAATCGAAACTAGTCGCACACGGCTCTCCCCAACTCTCTTCCCCCCCCCCTCTCTCGCTCTTCATACAACACCCTTAGCAATAATTCTAAATGTATTCTCGTATCATTGTATCATGTTATACCTAATATATAATATATA